GACCTTTTCCTCCCTAAACATAACATCTAGGCCTCAGTTGTATTTCAGCTCCAGGCCCAGAAAAGCAGCAAAACCCGATGAGTGACACCTTGCCTGCCTCAGGACCAGTTACATTGACTAATGACCCCCTGTCCTGGCACCGACCAATCAGTGGAGACCACAACCCTGAAGCACACCTGGAAAGCTGATGAATATTCTATGAAGTCCTCCCCTCAAATTTCCACCTGCAAGAGAGAGATAAACATGTTCAGGACAAAGGACCCAGTGCGTGCTCTCCCTCCAAGGAGCACACCAGTGCCATTTCCTGTCCTCTCTTCCCCGCCCCCCCGCAACAGGCACATACCCCTAACCTCTAAGGGACCCCATGAGACTTGCAACCAGGGGAGCAATGGGCAGTGGCAGCTCATCCTGGGCTAACCCCCTGAACCTCTCTCCAAGGTCCCCTTTTCTCTGATTTCCCAGTGAGCCGAGGCAGCCCCGCCTAGGCTCTCCTGTTGCTTCTTCTATGCCCTTCCTTGTGTCACTGTCCTAAGTATGTTTTTGCTGCCACCCTGGACCCAGTGCCCTTTGGCTCAGTGCTGTGTAGCCCTTCCCTTTGGTTCTCTCCATCCCCCAACTCCTTTACCTTAAATAAATTAAATTTAAAAAAAAATCACTGTCTGTGGTGGCTATTTAGCCTACCAAAGCACCACCGACTTTAACCTTTCAAGAACTTTAAAAATCTTTTTTTTTATTTTGGAAATTTTCAAAGCTAAATAAAGTTGTGAGACGAATACATGCCATGTCACATATATTTATCCTAGATTCATCGTGTTAACATTTTATCACATTTTCTCTCTCTGTGGGTAGCTACATGGCATGATTAATTACCTTGTGAATCATTTGAGATTAAGTTGCAGATATTACATCACAACACATTCTCCTACATATTTCAGTATGCATCTCCTGAGACCAAGCTTTTCTGATATAACCCCGCATGAGGGATTGAACAATGCTGTAATAATCCTACCTAACCCACAGTGCACAGCCAATCTTTGCCAAAGTCCCAATAATGTCAGAGCCACAGAGCAGCCTTTGGTTACCCTGTCTCTTTCCTCTCCTTTCATCGGGGGAGGGCTGGTCCTTGGCCTTTCTTTGTCTTTCATGACACTGACACTACGAAATAGAGCTGCCTAGTCCTTAGCAGTTGTTCCTTCCATTTGGGTTTATTTGATTCCCCTCCCCACCGTGGGAATAGGGAAATTTCTTTCTT